TTTTTTTTTTTTTTTTTTTTACCCTGGCTAGAATCGTGTGTGTGTGTGTGTGTGTGTGTGTGTGTGTGTGTGTGTGTGTGTGATACCAGGGATCAAAGTCAGGACCTTGCCTTGTGAGGCAGGCACAGTGCCATGAACTAAATTCTTGGCCCTGGAATCTTATATTTATCTACAACAAGGGTTTCTCTCTTCACCATATATCTTGGAGAAAATGTCACCAAAAATATAAAAGTCTGTCTTATTCTCTCTCTCTCTTTTTTCTTTTTTTTTTCTTTTTTTGTGAAACAGGGTCTCACTATGCAGTTGAGACTGACCTGGATCTCACTGTGTAGTAGTCCAGGCTGGTCTCACAGTGATCCTCCTGCCTCGGCCTCCCAAGTGCTGGGATTACAGGTGTGCGCCACCATGCCTGGCTCTGTCTTATTCTTTCTATTACTGCACATTAACCCATGATGTGGATATACTAACATACATTTTATTGCTTCCCTACTGTTACAGCTCATGTCTAGATGACCCCAAAGCCTCATGCGGTCATAGGTGGGGCTCTTCAGAGGTGGCTGAATCTAGAGTGTGTGATGCTGGGTTTAGGGTGTGTGGTTATTGAATTGGTCCACTTACTGGTCTGGCACAGCTCTAATTCTGATAGCTGGGATACATTGTAAGGGACAGAAAGAGGCTTGTGTTGCCACTCTTGTTTGCTTTGCTGCCTTCTGCCCACCATGCACTGTTTCTCCTCCATGACGCCCCTCTGCCGCGCCACCCTGCCTTGGAGCCAGCCAACTATGGACTGAAACTTCTACAAACGATGAGCTAACTAAACCTTTCCCCCTTTAACTTTGGGTGTTGGGTATTTTGTCTCAGCAACCAGAGAAAAGTAACGAAAACACCTACAAATGGACGTTCAGGTTGCTTTTACTTACTTTTCCCTTTCTCTCTGGTTGGCTGGGTGACTCCCATTGTGTAAATATGCACACCTGTACCTTCTCTTTATTTTGTCTCTCCTGGAGTTCAAGACCGGAGGACAGAGGACATGCAAGATGGATTCTGCTACAGGCAGAGGCTATACCTCGAGGCCAGACAGGAGTCCGGGCAGATTTGCCCAGGACTTCAGCCTCCTCCTGCTGCTTAGCCATGTGGGGAAAGTGATGCCCTTGGCAAAGTTGCTCAGAGACTTGAAGAAAATGATAGGCATAGTGCTGAGCACAGCGCCTGGCACATAGGAATCTACTGGTGACAAGGGAGGGACACGGGCTCCGTGGGGCCTGAGTTCCTCCTACAGGAAGGGTGGAGCCCCGAGGACGGGCGGTACTCCCTTCGTGGAGCTGGAGTTAGGCTTCTTAGGACGTGGAAAGGTAGAAGTAAAAGTGCCGGGCCGGAAGTGGGAGGCGTGTTGGAGGACGGGAGCAGCTCCCCGTGGCTGGAAGGTGGTCATCGGCCAGCGGAGGAAAGGCCCTCCCGGGACGTGCGCAGGCCATCTTCTGGCGCGGAGGATGGAGGTCCAGGCCCTCTGTGGGCTTGAGCCGCCAAGCTGAAGCCGCGGGTCCCGCACGGGGCGGTCGTCGGGTCAGCCGTGGACCAGGGTGCGTCCTTCCCACCCACCTTCCTGTCTCCCTAGCATGGCGCTCCTCCCACACCCAGCACCCCCACCCTCAGCCCGGTTGGGAGGCGGGCGGAGGCTTCTTGCGGGGGCTGTGCCGGGTGGGCAGTTTTCCCAGAGCGAGGAGCAAAGCAGGACAGAGTTGGCGCCAACTTACTCAGAGGTAGCGTTGCCGGCGGGATGGCCAGCCTGCCCCAACTAACCTGAGCGCCAGGGCTCCCTCAGCACCGTGCTTCTGCTGTGGGGCTGCGGGCCTGCGCCCCAGGGGAGTGGCATGTCACACAGGGAGGCCCGAGGGCCACCAGCGATGCCAAGAGTGGAGCACGGCCCGGCGAAGGCCAAAACGCGGCGGCTGCCAGGCACTGATAGGAAGAGGCGCCACCTCAGCAGGACAAGGCAAGACCTGTGGGAAGAAACCAGCTGGAGGGACCAAAGATGGAGCCGAGCTGCCCCCAGCCCTGGAGAGGCCAGGGCTAGGGGCCCAGCTTGTGGCCGGGTAAGGAAATCCTGGACCAGCAGAGGGAGCTGGGGAGGCAGGGGCTACAGACCTTGAGATGCCTTCTCTGAAGATTACTGCTGCTGCCCAAGTGAGACGCGGCCCCTGAGACTGCACAGCGCCATGCTGGGGGTGGCGGGGATGAACCCCAGCTCAGCTCAGAGAGCTGGCCCAACTCCTCTGGGGGAAACTGAGGCTGAGGAGGGCGGTGAATGGCCCAGGGCCCCCAAGCCACAGTCAGGAGCAAGGCCAGAACCTGGCCTGTGGTTTTGGCCTGAGCCTCGGGGTCCTCTCCACAGTGGCCTCTTGGTTTCCGAACCTGCTGGGTCGAGCTTCTGTGGTACTCAGCACGGTGCGCTGTTTCCCATGGCCCCAAGCAAAAGCTGGGCTCGGACATGAGAGTGGGCAGGCATTCGTGGCGTAGCAGAGGGACCCCGGGACTCGGGTTCTGAGCCGCCAGCCTTTGCCTCCCTGCTGCCATCTGACCCCAGCCCGGACCTCGCTTCAGCTGCAACCAGAGCAGGCTGGAACCGCAAAGATGGGCTGAGCCCGTCAGTGCCGCTGCTCCAGTGCGAGACTGGGCGGCAGGATATCTTTCATAGGCAGGTTCAGATGGGGCGTGGGGCAGACCTGCTCAGTGGTGTCCTCTGTGCAGGGCGAGGCCAGTCCTGAGAATGCAGCACGGGAGCGCAGCCGGGTGCGGACCCTGCGCCAGGCCTTCTTGGCCCTGCAAGCCACTCTGCCCGCCGTGCCACCCGACACCAAGCTCTCCAAGCTGGACGTGTTGGTGCTGGCCACCAGCTACATTGCACACCTCACTCGCACTCTGGGCCACGAGTTGCCCAGCCCCGCCTGGCCACCCTTCCTGCGTGGGCTCCGCTACCTGCACCCACTCAAGGTACGGCTTGGGCCCAGGTACTTGGGTGAGGGAATCTTAATGCCCAGGACCTTAGGAAAGGGTCTGGGGATAGGAGACACTGGGTCAGGCCCTGCCCTGTGCAGAGCTGAATCGGGCTCAGTTTCTTCCTGCTGTCTCAGAGAGAGAAGATCGAAGGCTGGTTCTCAGGGTGGGGCTGATCCTGTGCTTCTCACAGGGTGACTGACAGTGGTTTCATGGGGATGCAGTTTCTCCAAGTGGAGGGAAAGACTGCCGGGTTCTTAGTGTCGGAGGGCAAAAAAGGAGCAGGTTTCAGGGCTGGGGCCTGGGCCATGAGGGGCAGCCAGGAGAGTCCTCAGCGGCTATGTGGCTTCACCTCCTGGCACCACACCTGCTTCCTGTCCAGGACACCCGTGCCGGTCAGATCCGGCCTCCAGGAGAACAGTGAGCCGAGGAGGCAGCAGAGTGAGGGCAGGTGGGGGCTTCCAGCACACACCGCTCACCACTGTCACCTGGCTTTCCTGGACCTCAGCCTCGCTTATGCAAGAATGGAAGCTAACCAGAGCTGCCTCCTCCTCTAAAGGGCAAAGTGGGATTCCGAATGAAAAGGGCAATGAACAACGGTCAGAGTCACAACGGCAGCCAACCCGTGGGGTGCTAAAGCTATGCCAGGAGCCGACCTAAGTTTAGTGCATCTTTTCTCGGGATGCTTGGGATCAAACCGAGGGGCTCATGGATGCTGGGCAAGTTCTCCACTCCGGTGTGTTTTTGCCTCTTGATCCATGCGAGAACCAACTACAGATCGCTTTACGGATGAGGAGATGGACGTGTAGAGCAGTCAAGTATCTGAATGTTGAGCTCACTGATCGAGCCCTGGGACGCCATTGTTGGAGCCAGGTGAAGGATGCCCTTAGAAATAAAGGAAGGGCCATCTTTGCCAAAATATTGTACAGGGGGCCAATTTTGTTTTCGTAGAAGATATTTTTCACTCTTTCCTCTAAGTAGCATTGTTAGGAAGTGTCTTGAAGCTTGAGGTTTGCAAGTAAAGCTAAAATGCACGATTCTGAGACTAAATGGGGCAACTCTGAAATACTGACAGTGGCACCTGGGTAGCAAAACCCTTTGTTGTATTGGTGGCCAAGGCCCTTACATGTATTGAGGACTGATAAATATGTTGAAGAGTAAACAAAGGAAGCTGGCAGATTGGTGAGGTGGGGTAGTTAGCCAGAGAGTGGGGCACTCCATCCCCAGGGAGCGGGACTGCAAGTCAACCTGGAATATCCTGGGCCTGCACCCGAAGGAGCCCATTCCTTGGAGGAGCCCAGATAGGAGGTTTTCCTGGCTCCACTGCTCAGCCCCTTGCCCAGCTCCTGGCTGGGTCCAGCTCTGCCCGGAGCACCTGGCCTCCCGTTCACCTCCCTCTCAGCCAGAATCTGATCCTCTTGGGGCTTCTGCTGTGCCTCTCAGCCAGGCCCAGGGTATGAGATCATGGGGCCCACACTCGACACAGAGGCCATGGCTGTCAGACTGTGATGCTAGGAAGGATGCTGGGAGGCCTGGCCTCAGGTGACAGGGCCTTTGGATCGTGCATGGCTCACTCACTTCCCTCACTCACTTCCCATCCTGTGTCTTACAGAAGTGGCCCATGCGATCTCGTCTCTATGCCGGAGGCCTGGGATGCTCTGGCCTTGACTCCACAGCAGCCATCACCTCTGGCCGAAGAACAAAGGAAGCAGAGGTGGGGTCCCAAGTCTCTGGAGAGGCAGATGTTCTCCTCACCATGCCCCTCTCGCCTGCTCTTGTTGACAAATGACGGTCACACTCATCCCATTCCCCTACACTTTAACTCTCGATTAGGGACCTGGAGTTGGTACCAGCCCCTACCTGTCTTCCCTCTGACTCTCGGCCAGTGGATTTGACTCAGGCCCAGCTTCCGAGTTCCAGCAGGCAGACCGGGGCAGGCAGTAGGCACCTCAGTGGTGAAGAGTTCCCAGGAGCACAGGACAGAGATTCTCACCCTCGGCACCAGGAGGGGACTTCCCAGCGACTCTTCTGTGACAGCCAGAGGACAGTGGGAAAGGAAAGGGCTAGACGCTGTCAAATTAAGTGATGGTGGCTGCCCTCCCTGATCTCCTCTAAGGCGTCCACAAACCCTCTGCATGTAGGGAGGAGACAGAAATCATTGCACAGGTGCAGGGGAGGGGGCAGCTCCAGGTGCTGATGAGAAAGCTAAGGGGCTCCTAGGCTCTTGGTAGCTGTGGGAACCGGTCTGGGGTGCAGTCAAACCGCCAGAGAGGAAACTGAAGAAGGGCACATGCACCACGTTCTGTTGCACCATGAATGCTTCCCCAGGGTACAAGCGGCGTGAGGGATGAAGGATTGTTGCCTTCGATTATGGGTCTCTCCAGCTGCTCCTCGTCACTACATTTTTCTCCCTCCCTGGTCCCTGCACGTTTTTCCTGCATTCGTTGACATGAGTTATACCACAGGTTAAGCCATAACGCTCACGTTGCTCACATTCTACTTCCCAGAGAAACTTAGATAGGCCTAACTGTCCTGTTCGAAAAGCTCTTGTCCCAGAAGCTGCGCACAGGCATCCATTTAAGGCCCTACCTGTGAAGGAGCTCAATTACATCCTTGAAGAAGCAGAACGTGTATCTTTTTCAAGGGGTGGTACTCACAGCCTTCTCTTTCCATTGTGTTAGAAACCGAACCTCAAGGAAAAATAATACAGGCCTGGGTTTGGTGAGCTCCCTGGGCTGTTGCTGCCTGGGGCTTCATTGGCCCTGGAGTTATTTTTACATTCATGCCGGAAATTGGTCCTCAAAGCCAGCTTCTTCCCACAGACATTGTCCTCCCCAAGTCCTACCAAGAGGTGCCAGAAATGTGAGAGAGCTTTCATGGAATTTGTCCCTGGCCCTGAAGAAATAATGTGAGGAATAATTAACCACAGAGTCTACACACCCTGAGATGAGCCTTCCGGCTCCACTGTGGTTCCTGAGCTGCTACCTGAAGTCTAGGCAGAGAGGGAGCCACCTTTTTGTTAAATTTCGGCTTTCAAGACGGACTAGGGTCACAGTTTGGCACAAGCTGCCACTGTCATCGTGAGCGTAAAGGAGGTCTGGGCAGGCTGGGAGGGCTGGGGTCCGTTCCTCCACAGAACTGGCCAAGGCGGCAGGGGAAAGGGGGTGACTCAGCAAGCTGGGGTGGAGGTAGGAAGAGAGACACAGAACGTCCCATCCCGAGCCGCACGGGATGTGGGAGAGCAGCTGGCCTGTGGCTGGGAGCCACGGGAGAAGGCCCGAGCCAAGGCTAAACTCGTAAATCTGCATGGGACCCTGTGGGGCTTGTGCAGAGCTGCTTCTGGGCGGCTGGATGGGGCCAGGCAGGGGCAGAGCCCAGGTGTGGGAGGGCATGAGCAGCACTCTTCACAAGACCATAAAAGTCCAGCTTGAATGTTCTATTTTTAAAGCCAAATAGCAGCAGCATCTTCCTGGGGAGCTGGAGGCTGGTAACACGAGGGCAGATGAGTTTCCTTCCAGTGGGGGGCACACGATCTCTTTCTGGGCATAAAGGACTAGCTCTGCCTGTATTGCCCCCCTCCCCAGTCTAGTGCGCCTCTTGATAGCTGAGTAGACTCGCTTTGGTTTGCCCTGGCCCACCCTGCTCAGAACCAAGCATTTGCCTCATAATATCTGACCCCGGGGATAATCACATCACTCTGGTGGAGAAGACCAGGAGGCCAGAGAAGGATGAAGCTGGTGGAGGCTGAGGAAAACAGGTCCCAGCAGGACAAGTTTCTTACGCTACCTCAGCTCTTTCCGGGCAAAATTGTTCTTAGTGCCCAGAAAAGTTCTGAGTGACTTAGGGGCCAGCTCCAAAGGCGTCCAGGCCAAAGAGCCAAAAGGGGTGACAGAGTGCAGGGGGACACAAAGGAAGGTCCAAGGGGTGACTGGGATCACCCAAAAGAGGGACCAGGCCTTGGCCTCCCTGATAAGCTCAGCGCCACACTTGAGAGATGACAACTTGGAGCCTGGGATATACAAACCAGCCAAGCCTGCGAGAAACACCCTTTGTCTCTGCATCGAAGAAGAAAAACACTGCTCACTGGGACACTTCCGGTCTCGCCAGTCCCTAGGCATGGGTGGCTGGAGCAGCTAGAGGCTGCAGAGGCAGCCCGGATTCCAGTCCTGGCCAGCTTCCGCCCCCTAGGGACACAGGTGTAGAGGAAGGACGCTCCGGAAGTTACCAGGAGCATGAGTGACAAGTGACAGGAAGGTGGGCTGGCTCAGGAGTTGGAGGAATGGCTGCTCCCCGGGGCTTGGTCTACTGTGCTTTCTTGCACTCTATCATGGGAATCTGGGTAGAATCACTGTCACCTCCCTTGGCTTTCTAACACTCGGTAGGAGAGCAGGCCGGAGGCTTGGGTGGGCTGTGGAGGGGCAGAGCTGGCCAAGTGGTAAATAAGGACTGTGGTGGCCATGGTAGTGTTTACCAAATGGGACAAGAATGATTAGAAATAGAAGATCAGGGCAGTTTCTTCCCTCTCCCTCTAGGAGGAGCCTGGCTAAGGTAAATTAGACAGGAGGCCCTCTTCCCTTTGTGGCACTTGCTTTGAAGGCCTACTCAGTAGGCCAAATGCAGCTCCCCACCCATCTTTGTAAATAAAGTTTTATTGAAACACAGCCACACTCGCTTGTTTAAGTCTTATTTATGGCTGCCTTCCCGATACCAAAGCAGAGTTGAATAATTTTGACAAAGACTGAAAAGCCTAAAATATTTGTTACCTGGCCCTTACAGAAAAGGTTTAGGGTTCCCTGTTCTATTGGGTAATTCAGAAGGATCATGGGTAGTCAAACTGGTCTGGGAACCCTGAGGTAGTCTAAGTGACCAAAACTTTTCTTTTTTTTTTTTTTTTTTAAGAGACTGGTTTTCACTATGTAGTTCAAGTTGGGCTTGAACTCACTAGGTAGCCCAGGCTGGCCTTGAACTTGCGGCAATCCTCCTGCCTCAGCCTCCTGAGTGCTGGGATTACAGGAGTGTGTACCACATCTGGCTTATCACTCTTTTCTGTCACAAGTGTAATAGAATTTCTAGAAGCCACATGATGTGTTGTTGCAACAGACAGAATAGAGAAACAGGAGAATCTAGCTGTTAGGAGAGATGTTGAGATATTTGAAAAAATCAAAAACAATGCCACTCTTCGTGTTATTTTCCAATATGGAAAATAATTATTTTTTCATAAAAATATATATTGACATAGAATGGACTTTAAGTTATTTTTACATAAATATTTTATTTTAAATCTCTATTTAATTTCTATGAGGTAATAATCAGTGATACAACCCAGAGAAGCAAAACCTCTTTGGGTTTTTAGGGTTCAAACTCTGGACCTTGAGCTTGCAAAACAGTCAAGGCACCACTGAGCTAAATCCCCAGCCCTTGGTTCTGCTTTTACAGAGTGTAAAGTTGCGAAATCTAACACTTTCAACACCTGTGCTCCAGCATAGATTTGGGAAATCAAGAAAGCTCTCACCTGCCCCTTGTCCCTGTACCATGACAGCTCTACCCTCTGCTCAGGGCAGACACAGTGAGGGGCTCTGGCCTCCAAGAGACAGAAGACTGGGTTCTGGGAGCACCTGGCAGTGAGGACAGAGGCCTCAGCCTAGTCCCCGTCACAGTGAGGTCTCCTGGAGGATGAAGGTGGGACTGAGCCCCTCCTGGCTTGGCCCATCTTCAGCCATCGCCCACTTGTCTCCACTGTCTTGTAGCACCCCATTCCTCAGCTTTTCCGGAAACAAGCTGGTGTCCACGGAGACGTCCTGGGTGGTGCAGAGCGGGGCAGGCAATGTGGGCAAGGGACGCATGCGGGAAAGGGAGGGGCCCTGCTGTGCCCCTGCTGGGGAGGGGCGGAGCCAGACCAGGACGGGCAGTGGGAGGACAGGGAGGCGTAGGTGCAGGGGGCAGGGGCTGGGGAGGGCCGTCGGATGGCCAGGCCCCCATCCTCCAGCACAGCCCACCCTGTGGGTGGAGGCTGGGGTGACCGCTATCGGAAATGGTCAGAGTGGGGTCGTGGGCACAGGGGACACAGAAGGGGACCTACCTATATGGAAAGGGAGGGGATCAAGAGACAAAGGGTCCCACCTGGCTGTGGCTTCTGCAGCAAAGCCACTTCTGACAGGACAAGGGCAGGAGGGCACGGAGTTTGGGCAGCACAGGGTAAATGGTCCGAGGGTTCAGGGTCCGGCCCCGCATCCCCCCTGTGGACAAAGGTGCTTCTGAGTCTGCAGCACGGTGAACCCTCTGGACCCATCCAAGACCCCATCCAAGATCCCAGCCCCACCCACCTCCCAGATCTGGCTGCTCCCAACCCCCGGGGCTCCCAGGGCAGCACCCCCAGAGACTCCCCCAGTCCCCGGTTGGCCCTCCAAGCCAGCAAGTGGCCTCTGAAAAAGAGAGCTTCATTGAGGAGACTGAGGAGTGAACATCCATGTCCTTTTGGGTCTTGTCTGTCCCAGGGGCTGAGCAGCAGTGACAGAGCACAGGGCCTGCTCCAGGCTGTGAGTAGCCTCAGGAGATCCTCAAAAGAGGCAGGAGCTGCCTGCCAACGAGGTATTACTGGCAACAGAAGTGAGAACTCAGAACCTGGGTCATTAAATATGCTGAGAAGCTATGCAGGGGCAAAGATGACTGAGTGTTTTAACCTTGGAAAAATTACCAAAAAATATGACCCATGATCCAGAATAGAAACAATTAAGGATGACTGGAAGGAACAAAACAAGCTGAATAAATCAGACTGGCCTAAATAACTTGACAGTTATATCAAGGCTGTAGTGGTTCAGAACCTCTGGTTTGGGTCCAAGTTGGATGAAAATAGTTTCCATGTCACACGTCCCAGAACACACAGCTCACTGGCTGGTGCCTGGTGGCTGGTGGGGCCCCTGGAGCTCTGGGATCCTTGTGAGAATACAGGTCAGTTCTCTAAGGATGTGCCCTTTGGGTAGGACTGGGTGACTAAGCAATCATCTCTGAGGCACTCACGAGTACACACAACTGTCGGGATCTTCAGTACTCCAGAGGAAGTCCAGTAGCAGAAGCCAGAAGTTGAAGCAATGCTCAGCCATAACCCCTGCAAAGTGGGTACAGGCTTACTCACAATGAGGTTCCATCCAGTTTATCACATCTAACCTACTGAACATCACAGCCTAGCAACATCGAATGCTGCAAAGTTCCAGTTGTTTCCCCCATGTGTGGTTGCTTGGGAGCTAAGGGTCAATGTCACTGCACAGCATTACCCAAGAGTCTGGTACTGTAGATCACTAGCCCAGGAAAAGATAGAAATTAAAATGTATATCACTTTTGCACCATCGTTAAGTCCAGCCACTGTCAAGTCAGGCACCATCTGTAATCAAAAGAATCTGTATCAATAACGTATTAGCCAAACACAGTGGTGCATACCATATAATCCCAGCACTCTGAGGAACTGAAGCAGGAGGATCACAAGTTCCAGCTCAGCCAAAGTAACTCAGCAAGTCATTGAAAGGCTGTCTCGAAATAAGGAATAAAAAGGGCTGTGGAATGTAGCTCAACATGAAGGCCTTGGGTTCAACCCCCAAGACCACAGTGGAGGAAAGCGGGTATGTAAAGTGTGATGGTAACCTCATCACCCAGGAAGCCAAGGCAGGAGGATGATGAGTTCAAGCCCAGTGTGGGCTACAGAGTGAGACTCTGTCTCAAAATCAAAACAACGTTAGGCCTAGTGGTGCACGCGTGTAATCCCAGCTCTCGAGAGGCTGAAGCAGGAAGATCACTGCCGTGCAAGGCTGGCCTCTTCTGCATACATAGCAAGTTCAAGGCCAGCCTGAACTGCGTAGTGAAACCCTGTCTTTAAAAAAATCAAAACAAAAAACATATTAAAAGATTAAGAGATGTAGTCAGTGGTAGATTCCTCACCTGGGATACAAAGGCCCCAGCTTTGATCCTCAGCACTGAAAAAACAAAAACAAACTTTCTGAAGAATGTACTTAAAATCCTCGAAGAGCAATAAGACTGACTGACAATCAAATAGTAAATGCACTGGAAACTTAACCAAGTGCTTTTCTAAAGAGGATACCCCAACTGTAAAGACTCTCTATTTGGTTAGGCCTAGAAAATGCTTACTTGAGGCCCAGCCCAGGGGCACCGTTAGGCGCCACCAGTAGCGGGCGCTAGAGGGCGCCCGGGGCGGGGGAGGGAGG